TCACTCTTCTTGCTGCAGACAAGGAGAGACCCAATAGTTGCACCTTAGATGGTCGCTCAAAAGCTTTTAATACCTCAGTCACTATTCACCAAAGCAGATATGTAGAATAAGGTGTTTGTGCACTATGTTGTGCCAATTGAGCTTGGTGTCTCCCACAACCTAGAAGCCCAGTGACACTCCCTCAAGGTACCTGGTTGTCCCATTTAGCTCTATAATATATGTGGGTATTTTTATAGCACATACAAATACATATGTAGAAATATCATCTGCCACAGCTATATGTTGCTGTTCTTGTTATTTGCCATCGAGTCGGCCCCGACTCATAGCGACCCCTCCTTGGGTTTCCAAGGCAGTATCACTACGGAAGTAGAAATGCCCAACCTTCCTTCTGAGGAGTGGCTGGTGGGTTTGAACCGCCAGCCTTCTGGTTAGCAGTCAAGTGCCTTAGGCACTATGCTACCAGAGCTCCTGCCAAAGCTATATACAGTCATGGATATATTCATGTCAGGTACCTTCTAAGTGCTCTTGTGGGAGAGAGATGTGCCAATCTGCTACCATAAAGATTTATAGCCTTGGAAAATCTATGGGGCAATTCTACTCTGCTCTAAAGGGTCCCTATGAGTCAGAATCAACCTGACAGTGTTTCATTTTTTTTTTTTTTTAAATGTTAACACATTTAAACCTCACAGCAATCCAACCCAGTTATATCTCTATTTTACAGATGAGGAAACTTGAGACAAAGAGTACTATTTAAAATATGCTGAGAACAAAGATGTCACTTTGAAGACGAAGGCACGTCTGATACAAGCCATGATATTTTCAATCACCTCACATGCATGCCAAAGCTGGACAATGAATAAGGAAGACTGAAGAAGAATTGATGCATTTGAATTATGGCGTTAAGAAAGATTACTGAATACACCATGGACTGCCAGGAAAACAAACAAATCTGTCTTACAAGTACAGCCAGAATGTTTCTTAGAAGAGAGGATGGTAAGACTTTGTCTCTCATACTTTGATCACATTATCCGGAAGGACTAGTCCCTGGAGAAGGATATCATGCTTGGTAAGGTGGCTGGTCAGCAAGAGACAGGAGGACCCTCAGTGAGATGAAATCATACAGTGGCTGCAACAGTGGGCTCAAGCACAGGAACGACTGTGATGATGGCACGAAGTGAGCTGTGTTTCATTCTGCTGTACACAGGGATATTATGAGCTCAAAGTGACTAGACAGCACCTAACAGCAACTGCATATCTGAAACCAAGTCCCTGGGTGGTGCAAACATTAGAAGATGTTTTTAATTTGAGACTTTTAAGGATGACAAAAAGAGTAAAGAATTAGTTGAGGCAAACAGGAGGTCCCAGGTGGTCCTTAGGTGACAGAAGCAGTTAGCAAGCTTAACTGCTAACTAAAAGGTTGGTAGTTCAAGTCCACCCAGAGACACCTCAGAAGGAAGGCCTACCAATCTACCTGTTGAAAAATCAGCCACTGAAAACCCTGTGGAGCACAGTTCAATTCTGACGCTCGGGAGGTTGCCATGAGTTGGAGGGTACTCAATGGCAAATGTTTTTTCAGTTTTATATTTGGGACAAAGAGATCAACTACCCATTTCATTTATAGGATTCACCTATAAAAAACAGCATATACTGAATCACTAAAGACATCAATTTCTGAAGAAAATAAAACAAAACACTTAATGTAAAAATTGTGTGGAGTTCACAGATATTTGCTCATACTATATTTCTAGGCCTGTCTCATCCAATATAAGAGCCACTAGTTGTAGCTACGGAGGACTCAAAATGTGGCTAGTACTTACTGAGATGTGCTAGAAGTTTAAAATGTACAACAGATTTGGACCAATATAAACAAACAAAAGTGAAATATCTCATTAATAAATTTTGTATTGATTATAAGTTAAAATAATAAACTTTAGAATGCTGGAGTAAAAATACATTAGAATTAATTTCACTCATTTCTTTTTTTAATGGGACTACTAGAAATGTTTTTATTATATTTGTGACTCACATTATATACATACTGGACAGTTTGTTTAAGTTTAGGAGGTAAGAGAAAGTCATAACATAAAATTATTATCAAAGTTCATTTCCCAATTAAGCTTAAGTCTTCCAAACTGCTGGGAGTATAATGGAATGAAAAATTCTATTTTCCCTCTCTCTCTAAACACACACATGCACACACACCTACTTATACTTATTAAGAAATATACATATATTTATATACAACTACATGTATGTATCTACACAAACACAGAGCTCATGAGAAGCACAGGAACATGCTACACTAATACTTCATTATACTCGACATACAAGATTATTTTATGATGAGAAAATCACTTCAGGGAATGTTAACACTTTGCAGATGAGAGAAGGGAAACAAATCTAAGGAGAAAGGGCCACAGGAAAAAAATTATTTTCCTTTAAACTGAAATCACAAAGGTTTCTTTAATCAAGAAAATATCTAACAACTTAGTTTCAGAAGCATAATATATAACAAGTCTATGTGGTAAGTAGAATTTAAATTTTCTGATAGCTTAACTGACAGATTATTAAAATACCTACTGTTTGATATCTGGTATCTTCTAGAAAATATACAGTTTATGGATACCTGTCACACTGTTTCAATCAAATTTGTACATCAAAAGTGAGGCCTTTAACTGATTCTTCCAATGCATACTGGTCCACTATATAGAAGAAAATTACTCCATAAAGTTTACATCAGATATCTGGAAAAGTCACATTTATAGTCATGGCTACTATCAGCTGTCAAGCCAAAGAATATTGAAGAAAACCAAGAATTTTAATATATACTGGTTAATTTATCATCTAAGTGACACGTATAGGATAACAGAAAAATTGAAATGGTTAAACAAAATTCTACATTTTAAAAAGTCCTTTTTTCTGGCTCTATTTTTAATTACAAATACAATTTGAGATGCAAAAGCAAATTAATAGGAACCATAAAAATAGAGCTGATAAATAAAATATTCACAATAAGAGATCAACTAACTTAGCAAAACTATTTTGTTCTTCCCTTCCACAGATTATTTGAAACATTTGTGTGTGTACACATACACACACACTTCTTTTTTTTTAAGCAGTAATTAATGTTATCTTGGTTTGTACGGAAACTAGCTAAACCATCTATTTCAGGGTTTCTCAATTTCAACACTACTGACATTTGGGGCTGCATAATTCTTTGTTGTGGACGGGGCTGTTCTGTGCATTACAGGATACGTAGCAGCATCCCCAGCCTCTATACGCTAGATGCCCATAGCACCACACCCACATCACCTGTGATAACTAAAAATGTATCTAAACATAGTCAAATGTTCCCTGGAATGCAAATATCTCCCCCTGTTAAGAATCACTGATCTATTCTTTCCCAAAATACCTTCTTATTTGGTAAAGAATACTTCAGTTTCCTTAACTACTACTATCCTTTAGTTTTAGGACTCTTCATAGAAAATCCCCAGATGGCTTCAGGAGGAAGGTCAGTAAACCTCCTGGAAACAAATGCAGAATACCACATGGGTATGTTTTTTACTTGTGTGTGTGCACTGGAATGTTTTCTATAGCTTTCATCAGATCCTGAAAGAGTCCCAAAAATGTCAATTAAAAAAAGGTTAAGACTTGTGCTTCAACTGAAATATTCAGTGCCCTGAAGCTGTCTTCAAAGCTATAAAATTGAAAATACTACTTTATACATAGCAAATAATTTACTTGTGCTGTCAGTTATCAGGCAAGATTGCTTTCACCACACCTATAAACCATTCATTCAACAAGCATTTCTAAGTACATAATATATACCAGGCACTACGTTATTAATATATGAAAGCTAACTTAAATTCTATCTCCCTCACAAAAAAAAGTATTAACCTTAAAAGTATAAAGTCCGTATTTATTGCATATATAACCAAGAATTTCTGCCTATCAGAAGAAAACGCATTCCTCCCCATCTTTTCCTTCCTCTCCTGCCTGAAACAAAACAAACATTTACTGAATGACATACTATGTTTCAGATATTGTTATTAAACCCAGAGGATAATAACTTGAATAAAAAATATAAATGAGAAGACATAAAATTAAGTGCCTAATATTGTCTCTACAGCACAACAAAAGCTCAATAAACAGTTGTTCTCTTCTTCTTTTCTTCCTCAAGCAGTTCACAGGCTCATCTCCAATACACATCACACGTCTTAAAATTTCTCCTTTATCTTTCAGATGTCCCAAAATAAAATGCTCTTTGTGATTCAAACTATGTAACCTAACTATATATCACAGATAAATACGTGAAATGTTTGAACTATAATTCTGTAATTTATATAAACTTTTTCTTTTTAATGCAAACAATCCCTAAATACTCTATTCTTTCTATAGTGCAGTTTAGGGTTTAGAAAGCCTCTAATATTTTTTGATTATACAACTGTGATACACAACTCAAAAGGCTTTTACACTCAATAAGTGGTCTGGGATAATAGACATTAATGTAATCAATAAATATCAAAGGAGTGGTTAGAAAAGAATATGTTTGCTTCAAGATTACCAAAAGGATTTAGGCTAGAATAAGTAGAATGATGTTTAAAACTATGTAATGAATAAATCTGTACAAATAAGTAAGAAAATAATTCTGCATCTATAAAAGAACATACAACCCCAAATAATCAATACTAGCCAAAAGCAAAATTGCTAAGAAATACAATGTGTCTAACACCTAGAAGTGATTTTTAAAAATTAAATAAGTGAATGAATAATGAAGATTTTATTTACTTTACATGTTGACAACAATTAACTAAATAATAGATACTACATAAAAATTATATTTCAACAGAGAAGCAATGTTATTTTGATGATAGTAAATTACACAGAAAAATTTTAAACATATAGTATCAGATTTTCTGGAGGGAAAAAGAATAATTACAACTCCAAATGATTCAAATCACCCAGAGGGTAAAAGAACACTGCAATTTTTACATATTTACCTGCACAGCAAGAGAAGCTGCATTGTCAGAAAGCAAAATTTGCTCCTCTGTAGAAACACAATAAAAATTCCAACTCAATACTATTATCATTAATCAAGTAAAACATACTTATTTTAATTATTTCTATTTTAAAAAAGAAAAGGTATACCTTTAACAAAGTAATTATGAAATTCTGTATCAATGCTTGTGTAACTATAATTTTGGTTAAATAATCATAGTATGTAAATAATAATGAAACAGGACTGTTTCCTCTAAAATTATTCAATCATTTAACTCATTTTATCAGCAATATGTAATTAAAATTGCTCATTTAAAGACAAATTCATTTTTTAAGGTTTCAAGAAATATTCCTCTCCTTTTCATTAAAATTAAGTAAAATAGTTTCCAGTCAAATCCCTTTAGTTAAAAGGTAAAGGATTCACAATCATGTAAGAGCAGCTTGCAGTTAATATTGCACAGTGTGTCTAGGTCTGTCACACAAAAGAAAGATGACAAGTTCGCTGCAATAAAAATTCCATGCTTAGAAGACTAGGGCTGCTGCCTATTAGTCTTCATTACTTTGCAGTCTTCTGACAACTGTAGCAGGCTGCTGAGCCCCAAATGGGGTCCATAATGTGATCTGATGATATATGAAGAGCTGCTAAAGGGAGCCTGAACCATCCTAGCCTATACATTTTAACAGTTCCTTTTTTACTGAGAGCCCACTTTACCACAGGACTTCAAAAATCTGCTGTCTCAGCTCTTGGTGCAGTAAATCTGCCAACTGTGCCTGCAACCACATCATTTTACACTGCCTATAGCACCCAATATAATGAGTCAATAATAAACTAAGGACCTTATAGGCCATGAATAGTTGGTTTACACTGGCAACTTTAGGTAAAACCTCCTAGAAAAATTATACAAGGGAATCCCTTCCTTATATTTTATGTTCTCTCTGCAATAAATTATATTACTGAAGGTTTTTTAAATAAATATTTTTTATATAAGGCCATTTTTAATTGTGAACAAGTACCCACCTTTCAGTTGCTGATATAATGTAGCATTTTCAGGCCAAGGTTCTGCAGCTGTGGAAACAAGGCAGTGATAATTAGGCACACACGGCAAGAAACATCTCAATATCCAACCAAATTAATAATCATGTTTGCCTAGAATATTTAAAGTCAATTGCCAAGGCTACTTTATGCACAGTACTAATCACACTATTTCAGATTATATGATAACTGTATTAGAGAACTCGTTTTAAACGCATTTTTGGTTTATTGTTTGCTGGTGGTTTATTTTTTATGAGGAGATGGAAGACAACCTGTGCAATCAAAATTGAGAATTTAAAAAATTAAACAGCCTATATAGTCAGATCTGACTCGATGACAGTGGGTTTTTATATGCTATAGTTCCTTTGTTGTTGTTGTTGTTGTTGTGTGCCGTCAAGTTGGACCCGACTCAGAGCGACCCCTCCTTGGGTTGCCGAGGCGGTATCACTATGGAAGTAGATTGCCCAACCTTCCTTCAAATATAAATCCAAAATTTACTCATAAACATAAAAGATACTGAATTTTTATCCACTACAAAATAAAGTGAAATTTAACATATTTTACTATAAACTTTTAACAAAGTAAATTTTCAAACAGCCAATACTGTACAAAAGAATCAAATACATCTATATCAGGTTGTGCATCTTTCCTTATAAAATGGTAATATTTAAAAATACATAGGATTCTTGTTGTATTCTAGAACATTCCATCGTCTTGACACCTTATCACCACTCTACCAAAACAATTAAAGTACAGTAACATGATGTATAATAAGTACATACCTGAAAAATAACTAACCAACCAACTTCCATCAAATAGATTCCAACTTAGAGTGACTTTATAGGACAGAGTAGAACTGCCCCATTGTTGTTGGTGTTGTTGTTATGTGCCATTGAGTTGGACCCGACTCATAGCAACCCCTCCTTGGGTTTCTGAGGTGGTATCACTATGGAAGTAGATTGCCCAACCTTCCAAAGCTTATGTTTACAGAAGAAGACTACCACATTCCCTCCCCCCCTCAACGGAGCGGCTAGTGGGTTCGGGGGTCGAACCATCAATCTTTCAGTTAGTAACACTTAGCCACTGTGCCATCAGGGATCCTTGATATAAAGCTAGTAAAGCTACTGTTAGGCCTAAAGTCAGGTTTGACCTTGACTTTAACCTCTTATCTAGGGAAAACTCCAGGTACAAAGAGAACATTGACAATCTACCAGTTCTTGGAAAAAGCACTAGATTTTAATTTTGTCTAATCTATTGGACTTAAAAAGCAGTGGGTCCACTGACAGAATATACAGGATATCATTCGTTGAATTCTTCTTTGTAAAAGTCATAAGACATCAGAATCACCAATTTTAATAAAGTAACTACATTTGCTCTCAGCAAGAAAGTTAATCAAATATGTAAGATTTGATAATAACTGGTAGCAACCAAACCCAAACTCAATGCTGTCAAGGTGATTCAGACTCAAAGGAACCCTACAGGGCAGAGAAGAACTGGTCCGTACGGTTCCCAAGGCTGTAAATCTTTATGGAAGCACACTGCTTCATCTTTCTCCCATAGAGTGGCTGATAGGTTCAAAGTGCTGACCTTTCAGTTACTAGCCAAGCACTTAACCACTGCACCACCACAGCTCTTGACATAGCAATAAATGATCATTTTTGTGATATAATTGTGATTGAGTTTTTTTTAAATTTATGCACATGGGTGTTTCTTTACCAAAATTGATCATTTAAGGGAGTCTTTTCCATAGAGGAGAGGGGCAGGACTCCTTAATTTGCTTTCACTTACATTTCAGAATGAACAGAAAAGCACCACAGTATTGTTATAAATTACAAGTTACTTTTGTTTTCACTACACAAAATTAAACCCATTCTTAGGGACAATATTACAAAATCATGAGCAAATAATGAGCAATACACAGTTATGTATGTCGCTACCCATAATATTATATAAACATTTAAAGTTACTGACTTTCAACCAACATACCAAAAAGGTTGCAAAACTGAATATTAGAGTTTATTATAAACTTTTTAACAACATAAAATTTCAATAAGAACCCAATTAACTTGTATAACAGTTTTTTAAATAAAAGTCAGAGAAATAAAAATAAGCTGACATCAGCAAATTACTCAAAAAATACCTTTTGGGATAAACTGCACAATCAACACACCTATACTATTTACATCTGTACTAAAAACAATACATTGAGGTTCATTCTTTATTAGATCTTAAATCACCAAAGATTCAATTTATATGCATTATATTAATCTTACAGATTAAATAAATGTAGATAAATAAAAACAGGAATAAAATTTATGGAAATTTCAAAGAATAAATACTGAAAATAACTTCCTTATGGGCACAAATGTGTCTTATATATCTTTGTATTCCACAATGTACTATGTTTTGTATATAGCTGGTATTCACTGTAGGTAGAAAAAAAGAAAAGGGGTATTTGATTAAATAAACTCACCATCCCATTCCCTAAATATTCTGGGTAATCAAAGCTTTTTGAACCTAATAGTATCAATTATGTTAAGGTAATGGGAATGTTCTAATTAAATATTCTAGTAATTTTAACTTTTGGTTAGTTTTCTTTTGTTATATACTACATATTTGTTATATACTATATATGGATTGGAGCTCTGGTAGCATAGTGCCAAAGGCACTTGACTGCTAACCAGAAGGCTGGTGGTTCAAACCCACCAGCCACTCCTCGGAAGGAAGGTTGGGCAATCTACTTCTGAGGCATAGTGATACCGCCTTGGAAACCCAAGGAGGGGTCATTATGAGTCAGGTCCAACTCCATGGCACATAATAACAACAACATGTATGGATTAGGAGCTCTGGTGGTGTAGTGCCTAAGGCATTCGAATGCTAACCAGAAGGCTGGCAGTTCAAACCCACCAGTCACTCCTTGGAAGGAAGACTGGGCAATTTACTTCCAGAGATACCACCTTGGAAACTCAAGGAGGAGTTGCTATGAGTCAGAAACCACTCAACAGCAGTGATTTTGTTTGTTTGTTTGTTTTTTAGTTTATACACAGATTACAATTTTTCAAAATAATGGAGTGACATAGAGTTAGCATTAAATATACAATGAGTATAAGTTAAGCATTCTTTGATAAATCAGCCCCTACTTCACTACTCTATAATATTACAGAGTTCTCATATGAACAGCAACTTACACATTCCAGTTGATTCATTATCACCTCCACAAATTCTCTGGATTCTAATACAACAGACATATGTGAAAGTAATAGAAATCGTATGTGTTACCTGACTGCAAATACGAATAAAGAAAAAAAAAAAAAACCTCACTGACATCAAGTCAATTCTGACTCATAATGACCCCTCCTTGGGTTTCTGAAGCAGTATCGCTAAGGAAGCAGATTGCCCAGTCTTCCTTCCAAGGAGTGGCTAGTGGGCCTTCTGGTTAGCAGTGAAATGCCTTAGGTACTATGCCACCAGAGCTCCTAATGAGCTGCCTACAAATGCCAAAAGTTCTGTTATTAAGAACCTAAAGCTAGAAAAGGGGGAAGTATACTTCATTTGATCCAAAATGCAAACCATGTTGCAACTCAAAAATTATTACTGAACCATAAGGGATCTACATAAATGGAAGAACATCCCATGCTCGTGAATAGGAAGATTGAACATTGTGAAAATGTCAGTTCTACCCAAAGCAATCTATACATTCAATGCAATCCCAATTCAGATCCC